GACACCATTGCTCTTCAGTACTTTGGAGAGGTCCCTAACAGCAGACTTTCCCATGGCAATATGTCTTTTAATTTCCTGGCTACTCGTGTCAAGAATGTTGACTGTGGAGCCAAGCCGACTAAAGTTGTTAACATAAACCTCAGAAATCTAGTAAAATGTTCCCCAGGAGTCAAAATCAACTCATGGCAGTGGTTTGGGTTTCATCAGGTTATAGGCTCTGTATCCTAACTCCTGAATCAGGCTTCCTCTCAAGGGGAAAGCTCACAAACTTTCCCCTTCACCTGCCACTAACTCCTCCACATTTTGTCCAAAACATCCTATCCTTATTCCTCATTTTAGCACTTACCCATGCCTTCTCCCTTTATTTCCTTCTATGCATCTTTTAGACCAGATCATCTCCTTGAAACACTCATTTACTGACATTTCTGCATATGAACCTCCATCGGCCTTCCTTCACCCCACCCTACTCTCCCACTTGGTTCCCCCAGCACTCCTTTGAGAGATTTTCATGCTCAACTTAAAATAAATTCCCCGCTGCTGCTCATGGCGGAAGGCTGAGTGTAGAAGTGTAAGGGTCCGCGACCCTAGAAAGTGACTGGCTCTCTTTGAAATGCCCCTGGGTTTCCCAGAATGCACTTCCTGAATACCAAGTGGCCAGTACCTACCTTCAGGCCACTATGGGCAATCTCCTCCTGTGACACTAACTGCATCTGAAAAGCCCCTCAAGGGTCAGCTATGGGTCAATACACAACAACAATCCTGCATACAGGCTTTAGATTTGGTGAAAATCCATCCAGAAGCTTCCATGAGGTTCACTAAAGAAAAGAATATACAGGAACACCATTCTCATTTTATACAAGGGTAACGGATGCCATGGTTTTCTACGACATCTCTTCTATATCCGTCCCCTACTGGATGCCAGTACCCATCCACAAATTACCCCAAAAGAAGTCCTCTTTACATGCTGATTAAGAGAAAAGTTAACGAGAATGAAGAAAGGAAGCAGGATAAGAATAAGAAGTAAAATAGAGATTGATTTAGAAGAGAGGGAAAATACTTAGAATTGAGAATGTTAAACAATACAGAGGGCAAGGGGAGAAACAAGAATTGACAGGAAGGAAGTAACAAAGAAGTTTAAATGAAGGCATCAAAGAGGAGGAAGGAAGGAAGGAAGGAAGGGGTGAAGGAAGAGTGGAAGAGAGGAGGGATTTAGAATGAAGGGTGCACTGAGGGAGGCAGGAGGAAGAGAGATGGAGAGTGCTTAATTCCTCCTTTGCTTCCGGTTAGGGCCACGTCCTTTGTTTCATTTCACTCAGCACCCTAAGAAGAAGCAAGTATCCTCCTTCACGTAGGAGGTAGACTACAATTCTTTAAAGCCCTTGAAAATAATAGTGTTTTACTCACACCCCAAGAGAGCTGGTCAAGTGAGGGGCAGGGTGCAGTCCCAGGAACTGAGAGACAGTAGATGTGCTTGGAGGTGACAGTGGGATAAAGGGACAGAAGCAGGGGTAAACTGTCCACAGTAGAGGGAATATAAGGCTGTAATCATCTTCAAATGAGAATCAGTCTGGAAGACACCTAACACTCTCATTAACCTTCAGAGAAAAAGTGGTCTGTCCATTACAAGTCCCACTGCTAATGCAGACCGCTCTTCAGCCCATTAACTTTTCTGCAGGGAATCCTGAGGGTCTCTGTGGACACGTACAGATGGGTTTACAGATATTCTACCCAGCAGGGGCTGAGGAGAGCCTGCTGCCCACCTGCTGCCCTCCCCACTGTCGTGTTGGGCTGCCGGAGTTTCTTCACAAGGCTGCTAGACAGGGAGAGTAAAAGAAGTCAAGGCCTCTTGTGGCCTGGATTTAGATCTACCTTCACCTCTGCTGTATCCTACCTGTCAGGGGAAGTCACGAAGTCAGCCTCAAGTCATCCATCTCTTGTTGGAAGAGCCTCACAACTGCAAAGGTGTAAGAGTACAAGGAGAGGAAGAGTATCCATCCTCCTTCACATCTTACTCGGTTCCACTAGCTCCCTGGAGCCTTCCTGGACCAACGCAGTGAAGAAGACCCTTTCTACTCTCTCTAATCTTGCAGCCCTGTTTGTTGCACAAAATAGTTTGAATATGTGGTTACTTTCCTGACAATTACTTTTCCACAAGCACAATCTTCTATTCTGTAGGTCAAGATTCACATCACATAGTCTTTGGACATCTCGAATACTGAGGTAGTGCTAGCACTTAATAGGTGCTCAATAAAAATGAGAGTAATCATTTTCACTTACATATCTGGTTTTGCCCCACAGATTTCAACTCCAAAACTGTGCAATTCTACCTTTGCCTTACTTCAAAGTTATTGTAGATGAGGCCTGGAATTAAATGATGAGGAAAAATATTTTTATTAAAACTACTGAATACGAGGCCACATTCACCTTTTGAGATCTAGGACGAAATACGTTTTCCTATGAAACATAGTTCATAAAAAAGACTAAGGTGTGCATGATTGAGGTCATGGTCTTTTCAATCACTTGTTATGCATCTGAGAGCTGGGTAATGTATAAGGATGAGAGAAGAAGCCTTTGAATCATGGTGTTGGAGAAAAGGACTAAATATCCCATGGACTGCCAAACAGACAGACATGTCTTGGGCAAAGTACAGAGAGAATACTCCTTAGAGGCAAAGATGATAAAGCTTCATCTCATACACTTCGGGAATTTTGCTAGGAGAGGCTGTTACTTGGAGATAGACATAATGCTTTGGAAGGTGGAAGGTCTGCAAAAGAAAAGATGACCCTCAACCGGGTGGGTTGACACAATAACTGATACAAGGGGGTTGAATAGGTCAGAGATGATGAGGATGGCACAGGACAGGCTTGGGTTCAGATCTATTGCTCATAGGGTCTCTATGAGTCATACTTAGCTCTAATGCCTCTAACAACGTGATGCATGGTTAAGGAAGAAGATGTGATCTCAATGTCTGAACTGAAATTTATATTCTTTCTGTTTCTATTTCCCTCTTTTTTAAGGAACTTGTGGATTACTTACGAGTTCATTCACATAGTGCTGTTTATGCCACATCTATGAGTCCTCCAATATCAGAGCAGATCATCAGATCAATTAAACTCATCATGGGAATGGATGGGACCACGGAAGGTAAGAGGTCCACCTGTGAGCACAATTCCCACAAACTCCTTTCCCAGCCACCTTTCTGCATCCTTTATGCCCCACCAACTACCCCAATCTTGAATAGATGCTTTTGTTTTACATAGCCAAGTGTATAAATCAAATCATGTGTTCAAAGTCCTGAAAGAAACCTTGTAAAAGCAAATTCAAGTTCAAACTAACATGATCCAAAAGTGTGGATAATACCGTGTGCTAAAATGATGCCAGCAGTGGTGTGTGGTTATCAATTGTGTTTCTCTGAGACAAAAATAGTCAATTTAGTATTTATATGCTTTTTTGAAAAGATAAATTTTATTAATTTTAATGAATATTTAAAGAGATTCTGGCTTTCCATTAATTCATTGTTGCACTATTTTCTCTACCCCCACCCCAGTTCGTTCCTCTCTCTTTTTTTTCCTTGAAAGTCTGTTTTAATTGTCCCATTGCCACAGTGCTTGTCAAAACCAGTTCTGATTAATATCCTTTGTCAGTGTGCCTTTTGTCACTCCCTATCACTCCTCCCTGAGAGAGATTTCACCCTGATTCATAAGGAAAAGGGGACGGCATATTCTCTTAGCTACTTCCTGCTGAAAAGGGACACTTTTTTAATCTATTATTAAATTTTATTCGTTTTAATGAACACTTACAGAGATTTTGGGTTTTCATTCATTCATTGTTGCACTGTTTTCTCTACCCTCTTTTAATGCTTCCTCCCCAGCCAGATAGAGAATAGAACCGCATCAGTGACCACTTGAGAATATATGCCTAAAGCATGTACAATGATCATTTTCTAGCCATTTTCCTGGCATTGGGTCCCTACACATAGAGAATGCTATGTTGCTCATGTCAAATAAGCATCACCTTTTTTCTGAGGGTTGTTAAACCAGAAACTGGCTCTTGAGACTCCTTTTAATTTTCAGATAGGTGTATAAGGTGTATAGACCTTTTACAACATGCAACACACTGTTGTGGTACATCAATAAATAAGTTAGTCCTTGTTGTGTATGAAGCTAACAAGCACATTTATGGAAGTAACAGGTTATCCTGACCTCACAACTAGATAAGGTATACATGAGATAGGTTGTGGTTGCTTACAAGTCAAAGCATATGTGATTGCACAGTAAACATTTTTTAGATAGTACCGTACACACAAAAACCAGGAACAAAGACATTTTTCAGGGCCATGAAGATGTATATTAGAAGTTATATATGTGCGATACCATTATAAGGAGCCCTGGTGGCCTAGTGGCAAGAAGCTGTGCAGCAGTCCCAAAGGCATGAGGTTTGAGGCCACTGGTTACTCCACAGGAGAAGGATGGACAATCTTCTCGCATGTGATTAACTGCCTCTGAAAACTCACCGGAGTGTCAGCTATTGGTAGATTCTGACTCTATGACACGCAATAATATGCCATTAAATATCTGTCAACACAATAGCTTTGTTAGCAAGCGATAGGAGACACTCATATTATGCTTAGGAGGTTGTGTCTGCTCCGTCCTTTTCCCTGATCAGCATTTCTGAGCTGTTACAGCCTTATGTGAGCACAGACACAAATCAGGACTTTTTAGAACAGATGTTAGGCAGTACAGGCCTGTTCTTGCTAGTTGTAGCGCCTTTGACAGGTTGCATCTTTACAACCCTGTTGTTGTTGTTGTTATGTACCATCAAGTCACCTGTGACTCATAGTGACCCTATGTACATTTGCTTTAAAACTTGCCCCATCCTGACCCAATCTCATGATCTCCAACAGACCTACTCCCATTTCCTCAGTCACTGAGTCAATCCATCTCATCCAGGGTCTTCATTTCCTGTGTGTGCTGTCCTTCCACCCTTATCCCTCCACAAGTGTCTCCAAGGACTAGTCCCTCCTGACAACATGCCCAAAGTATGTGTAGTGGAGCTTCAAAATCCTTGCCTTTAGGGAGCAGCCTAGTTTTACCCTCTCCAGGACAGACATGATTGTTCTCCTGGCAGTTCACAGTATGTTCAAAACTCTTCTCCAGCACTACAACAAAAAGGCACCGATCCTTCTTCTATCATCATTAGTTATCGTACAGATCTCTGATTTATAACAAGTAATTGCGAAGAACATTTCCTGGACTAGGTGCACCTTCGTCTCCAGGCTGACATTATTGCTCTTCAGTACTCTAGAGAGGTCCCTGACAGCAGACTTTCCCTAAGAAAAAAACCAAACATCTAACTTCTCTGTGTTCAGTCTCCCAAACTATAAAACGAAGACAACATTTCCATTTATAAGTTATTAATATTAGGTAAATTTTTTAATGAAAAAATATTTAAAATTGTGTCTGGTTATATGAATAATCATTGAGTTGTGAATGAAATTTGTTCGTATGTATGTTTGTTTTGTTTGTTTTGATTGAGATTTTACTGAAAGTTTATAGAGAACTTGGGTTTCCGTTTATTAATTGTTGCACATTTTCCTGCCTGTCCCCCTTCCCCCCCCAGTTTGCTTTTTTCTTCAGATAAAAATCTTTTTGTTGTTATACAGTCCTCCCTTGCCCCTTTACTATGCAGCTCTTATTCTGGACTTTTGGAGTGCTGAAAATATCTAATCACATATTCCTTTTATACAGTTCTCTCCCTCGTCTGTTTCAATGCTGTGCACGTTATGTATGCCCTCTTTTCTTAGTTTCCCCCTAATTCCCTTGTCAGTCCTGTTTTATAACAGTGGCATTATGCAGTATTTGTCATTTTGTGACTGACATATTTCACTCAGCAAAATATCCTCCATGGTCACTCATTTTGTATATTTCATGTCTTTGTTTTTCAGTGCTGTATAATATTCCATTATGGGTATATACCACAGCTTCTCTACCCATTCGCTTGTTAATGGGCACTTGGGTTGTTTCCAACTCTTTGCTATTGTGGACAGAGCAGCAATAAACATAGGTGTGTGATATCTGCTTGGGTGGCAGTTCTGGTTTATTTAGGGTATATTCCCAGTAATGGAATTGCTGGGTCAAGTGGTATTTCCATTTCCAACTTTTTGAGAAAGCACCATACTGCCTTTCAGAATGGTTGCACCATTTTACACTCCCACCAACAATGAATAAGGGTTCCACTTTCTCCACAACCTCACCAGCATTTGTTGTTTACTGCTCTGTTGAATTTCGCTATTCTTACTGGAGTAAGATGATATCTCATAATTGTTTTGATTTGCATGTCTCTTAGAGCTAAGAATCTTGAACATTTCTTCATGTATTTGTTCACCATCTGAATGTCTTCTTTGGTGAAGTGTCTTTTCCATATCCTGTGACCATTTTGCAGTTTGGTTGTTGACATTTATCTTGTTGTGGTGCTTGAATATTCTATAAATTCTAGATATAAGTCCTTTATCAGATATGTCATTACCAAATATATTTTTCCAAGTCTTTGGCTTCCCTTTTTACCCTGTTGGAAAAGCTTTTGGACGTGCATAAGATTTGATTGTTTGAAGGTCCCATTTTATCTACTTTATCCTCTCCTGGTTGTAGGTTTTTCATGATGCCTGAAAGACTGTTTGTGCTGTGAATTAGTGCTTCTAGGGTTCTTCCAAGCTTTTTTCTAATGCAGTTTATAGTACTTGGTTTTAGTCCTAGTCCTTGATCCACTTTTAGTTGATTTTTGTGTACAGTGGAAGGTAGTATGTATGTTTTTAAGTTGAATTTGTAGATAGATCAGGTGCCTAT